CTGACCAAAAAGTTGAATTTTGAGTGTCATGGAAGAACCAGGCAAGCTTACTGAAGAAGGATCTTCATGGTATCAGTGAGCCAACTGGTTCTTTTTTGTTTTTTTCTAAATTTGGGATAAGTTATTCTCTCATTCTGTGCAGGGTCTAAGAAGCTACAAATAATGGGAATGTTGTTAGGATAGACAAGGGGTTGTGTATAAGTTTGGACCACAGTGCAGAATTCTAAGCACAAATGGCTGTCATCCTACCAAATTAGGATTTACCAGAGGGAATAAGTATCTAGGGGGAGGGCCAGGCAGGCATTAACATGGCCAGAGCTGTATGTCAGTCAACCCTGTGATACTAGTGTGAAGGAAAATGGTCTTCTTCATCATGGCTAATTTCCACAAGAACCATGGACCTAAGCAGGGATATGAAATTGTTATATGCCGGAGTTCGCAAAAAAATCACCAGCACCACTTTAAGAAAAGTAGCAAGGTAAATGTTTATTATTTTGACCAGCTGGCCTGTCTATCTCGGGAGTAGACGCAGCCCTGATCATTGTTGGGCCAGAGTTTTTATAGGATTACAGAAATATTATTCAAACAGGATATTTGTGAACCAATCAGGTTTGTACAACATAGCAGAACTTTGAATCTATTAATCAACAACCAATCATTGTACAGACAAGTGATACAGACAAGTGCTGGCTCAATCCCCAGCACTACCATAAAGAGAAAAGAGGAGCTGAACAGATGACTCATTGGCTTAGGAGCACTGCTGCTCTCAGAGAGGACCCAAATTCAAATCCCAGCACCCAGCTAACAGCCATCCATAACTCCAGTTCTAGGGGACCCAACACCCTCTTCTGACCTCCTCAGGCATTGCACAACACAGGTGCATTTACATACATGCAGGCACAACACTCGGCCATGTGCTGTGGCACACCTCTGTAATAGCAGCAGCATAAAGCAGATGTGTGCTTTTTAAAATATTTTATTTCTTATTTTTATTTTATGTGTATGAGTGTATTGCCTGCATGTATGTAAGTGCACTCGTGTCATGCAGTGCCCGCAGAGATCAGAAAGGGACCATTGGATTCCCCTAGAACTGGAGTTATGGTTATTGGTCTCCATGTGGGTGCTGGGAATCAAACCTGAGTCCTCTGCAGGAGCAGCCAGTGCTCTTAACCACTGAGCCACCTCTCCAGCCCCCTTTTTTTGTCCTTTTAATACAGGGTTTCCCTGTAGCTACAGCTGGCCTGGAACTCACTATGTAGACCAGCCTGGCCTCTACCTGCCGGAATTAAAGGTGCGGGCCTCCATGCTTGGCTCCTTGTTGAATTTTATTTATTTATTGTCCCAGCTTACTTTAGAGTTACGATACACTAGTTGATCAGGTTAGGAAAGGTACAGGGTAGAAAAAAAGGAAACTGATTCCCTCAAGGGCATCTAACCAGCAAGGTGGCCTGCCTGTAATTTCAGTGCTGTTCTACAAGTGAGGGCAGGAAGATCAGGAGTACAAAGTAATCTTCACCTACACAGGTAGTTTGAGGCCAGGCTGAGCTGCATGAGACTGTATCTCAAAAATAAATAGGGGTAGGGGCTGGAGAGATGGCTCAGTGGTTAAGAACACTGGTTGTTCTTGCAGAAGACCCAGGTTCAAATTCTAGAACCCACATGTCAGCTAAGACACAGTTTTGAATCCCATCACCCACATGGCAGCTAACAACTGTCCGTAACTCCAGTCCCAGGGGATCTGACAGCCTCTTCTGTCCTCTGTGGGCACTGCACGACACGGGTGCACTTACCTACATGCAGGCAATACACTCATACACATAAAATAAAAATAATAAATAAAGCCAGGCATGATGGTGCATGCCTTTAATCCCAGCACTTGGGAGGCAGAGACAGGTGGATCTCTGTGAGTTCAAGGCCAGCCTGGTCTACATAGTGAGTTCCAGGATGGCTGGGGCTACAGGGAGGCCCTGTCTCAAAAAGACCAAAAATAATAACAATAATAATAATAATAAATA